AACGTTCAGCAATCATTCAAAGTAGCTCAAATCGAACCGTGCCTCAGTGACTAAGAAATTTCTAGAACCGAACCGATCTTATATCCGACGCAAAGATTGATTTGTCGTAAATCGGGTGGGAACAGCAAATGATTTTGATCTTATCTACGGGTGATAATAAAGAAGTCTTTCCCAAATGTTACTGATCCAACAATATCGACTAATCATTGATCTTCGTAATGAAAAAAATTCAACTGAAAGGATGAAGTTTAACTGGACTATACTTGTCATGTCGAACGAATCAAATTCTTAGTCAAGAAACACAATTTTTAGAAAATTTTCAAAAACAAATTATTATGCCTTCAGTTCTGACAAGGTTCTGATGGGTGGAAGATAAAGCTTTCCAAGGCCTATACGATGACTACTTCAGCTTTTCTTAAAATATGTTAAGTTTTTCTTCATTTTTGTACTTCATAGAATTTCTCATTTCATTTTCCACCTTCGGATTGTGCAATAAGATAGTAAATTCATACTTTGCAGAGTATTGAACAGCCTGTCCTTTTGTAAAAAAAGGACCCTGTCGGATTTAGAAATTTGAAAGTATCAAAAAGCTGAATAGCAGGTTCGACAGAGAATTTTATTGCGCATCTAACCATATTTGATTTTTGGTTTGAAACTATGATCGTTTCTTAAAACATTTGACCATTTACTGACATGAGATGAAAAACGTTTTTCAACTCAGTAAGGAGGTATAGTGAAGATATTGTTTATACCGGATTTTGTAGAGTGGAGAATGCGCTATAAACTGGCGATAAAAGAATTAAAAGAATACGGTTGTTGTTTGAGAAAAAAATATTTCTCGAACAAAATTTCAAATTTCATTTTTCATACTTTTCACTAAAACTTCTATAGCAGGTCAAAGAAATACAGCACCACCGCCAAACTTTGTCAAAAATTGTCTGATACTTAACTCTATCTAGCAATACAATTTGAGCCTTCAATGCCGGGTGCATCAATCAGAAAAAAATTCAACATTGAAAAGGCGTCGTATATGTTATTGACCATTTTTTATCTTAAAATTGATTTTTCTCATTTTTATTACGTCTTTTTGTAAAAATAAGATAATATTCTTGATCCTCGAACAAAACAGAATCGAATGGTATATTATATAGACGAATATAGAAAAAGAAAAAAACAATTAGTCTTGGACTATAAAAAACTCAGAAACAATTTCGCAAACCTATCTAGTTTTTTCTTTAGGCAGATGGAGCCGATTTTTGCACTTCATTAAAACCGCCATTAAACGAACTTTAAAAGTACATACCTCTCTTTCTTCCCTCGTGCTTGAGAAAGTTCATATTTTCTAGATCAGAGGCGCAAAAATCAGAATTCTGCCGGTATTCTCAATTTTAATCATCGGGAATCAAGTTTTATGCAATAAAAATATCATATTCTGAATCAGCATCCCAAACTACATTGAATGATATATATTTCGAAACTTTTTGTTTATTTTTATTTTTTGGTGAAAATCTCAGGAATTTTTCAACGTAGAAATTCGAAAACAATCATAGTAGTCCGATAGATTCATAAAGTACATCGTTCGATGTAATTTGAAACACTGATTCAAAATATGATATTTTTATTGCATAAAACTTGATTTCTGATGATTAAAATTGAGAATACCAGCAGATTTCCGGTTTTTGCGCCTCTGATCTAGAAAATATGAACTTTCTCAAGTATGATCATAGTTTCCAAACCAAAAATCAAATATGGTTAGATGCACAATAAAAGTCTCTATCGAACCTGCTATTTAGCTTTTTGATACTTTCAAATTTCTAAATCAAGCAGGGTGCTTTGCCCAATTAATTATAAGACTGGAAATACTAAGCAGATATAAGATCGGTTCGGTTCTAGAAATTTCTTAGTCACTGAGGCACGGTTCGATTTGAGCTACTTTGAATGATTGCTGAACGTTTTGATGGTGAATTAACAAACAGTAAACGATTCTATTCCTTCCCTGTCATGTTCAAACTATATTTTTTCTTCTGTCTCTGCTCAGTCAATAAGTTCTCCTTTTCCTAGGTTATCCGCTTCATTGGATGAGAGATACATAACAGATCACGCTTTACCTCATACACAAAAAGAAGAAATTTACTATCATCAATAAAAATTCCAATGCAGCATGTCGGACAGTTTTGGGTTTATTGCTAGAAATAGTGAATTCAGGAAGATATCAAATCATTCGAAAATTTTTCGGTTTCAAAAAAACACTAAGTGATCCCATCTCTGATACTAAGGCTATAATTCTTTTTGCGTCGCCCGTTATATGAGAAGTAAAATTTAACATATGTTGTAAGGCATTTTTGCAAAAGGTCTAATTTTCACAAACTTTGACTCTTTAAGAAGTCCTATGGTTTTTTAAATTTTAACTCATCATCAGCAAGGGAAGTAAAAATCAAAAAACTAGTTGTTACTTCATATCCATTGCTGAATATGATGGGTAAGGGTCAATCCAAGATTTGCACCTTTCGTTCCTTATAGTTGTTTGATATGAATTAGACTTGTAGTGATGGAACAGGTTTCCGATATAGAGAGAGAAGCTTAACACTGAAATTAATTTTTGTTCTAGAATTTGTAGAAAAAACTCGAATATGAAGTAGTATGGTACTCAGTAGAACTACCCGACATTGCAGCTTCTTATTGGCCACATATGCTCGGATATGTGTCAGAAAATATTAGCATAATGCTTATGTTGGCAATGAAACTGATCCTCCTTCGAAAAAGCTAAGCCAAAATCGTGTTCGTTTAAAACGAGGCTTCGTAAACGTCCTACTTTTCTATAAAACTGCCCTACTATGTCCTCCTTTCTGGATTTTCTCCTACTTTTCCTACTTTTTTAATTTTCTGTGTTTTTGGTAAACTCACAGGCAAAAAAATATTTTTCGCCGACTTTTCACTAATGAACTTTTTTAGTTTTGCGTTTAAAAACTGCACGTGACTCAATGCTAGCTACTCATGTTAAAACTTACTGTGAATTCTTACCTCCTAATGGTCAAAGTCTCATATAAATCCACTCAGCGTACCATTCACGAGCTTGACTAACTTTGTTTTTAAAAAGATCTATTTTAAACGGTTAGGAGAAGAGGATTTATATCAAGTTTTGATGTGAGTAGCTAGCATTGAGTCATGTGCAGTTTTTATACGTAAAATTAAAAGAAGTTCACTTGTAAAAAGTAGGAGAAAAATGTCTTTTCCCATACATAATACCCATTTTCCAGACATTTTCATAAAATTAAATATTTTTTTCTTCACTAATATGAGCTGATGAAGATAAAAAAGCATGGTATCAGATGTAACTTTCAATGCTCTATTCAACCATATGTGAACTATTGCATTTGGTCAACGGATCAAAATCGAGGAGAAAATCAGTAGGAGACGGGTCTGAAATACAATGCTTGTCGTAAAGTGTGTGTAAAATCATAAAAAAACATCGCACAGAGCTCGCCGACGTCTCTTTTTGTAGCTCGTAAAAGCTAAAAGCTACCTTACCTACTTTTTGATATAAATCCTACCATAACAGACTTCAAAATCCTACTCCTACCCTTTGGTTTTTGCTATTACGAAGCCTGCGTTTGCAGTCGGACCTTACTCGTATTAAATTTGGTCTACGTGATCCTGTTGATTCACTAATATTATAATTTGTATTTGTTACAATAATTCCGTAATTATATTCCATGGCACGTTTGATATAAGGTATCTGAGAGCCAACTTCTAATCCTTCCTCCAATATCAGTCTTTTAATTAATTTCGGATGCAGATAAATATATTATCGAAAGAAACGCAAAACATACCTTCTGCTCCACTCTCCCGCTCTAACAGCGCCTGCACCATGAATGATTATCAACAAATACTTTTGAGATAATGCACCTTTGCTCATAAATATGAAACTTGTTGGGTCGTTCCTGCCAGCATGAATCTGAATAATAATAGTATCATACTGTCTGTTCAAAAATAAAACAGGTCCACCCATTTTTTTAATAACTCTCGACCGAAAAGAGTTAGAGAAATCGGTTTTCGCCATTCGAAAAGCCCCCAAAACCTGGTGAAAACCAAATATTGCAAAAATTATGGTTTTCCGACTATTTTCATCTAGCATCAAAAATTTCACAACTTACTCAAAACCCATTAAAACCAATTGGAATCCTCAGTGTATTGTTTTGCCCACTAGGCTTAGTTATATGATCGAAAGGTTCGCAAAATCGTGTTTGTCCACAGAATTTCTAGAAATCCTTATGAAAACCTCTTTTGTGAATTTTGAATGAAATATTAGCATATAAATTTAGACGTTGGAAATTCATGAGATTTTAGTAAAATACACGGGATATTAGCGAAATACGTAAGATTTTAGTGAATACATGACACATCAGCATATAAATTCAGGATGCGGGAGGAAGGAGTGCGGCATGGGAGTGAGTCCCAAAAAACATTTCACTACCAGGCTCTTTTTATGTATGCCTCACCAGCGTGGTTGTGGAGAGCTAGAATATCAACAGGGGTTTGACGTGCCACTATCCGGTGTATCTCATTAATATCTCAGATATGTTACTAATATCTCGTGCATTTCACTAATAGCCCGTGTGTTTTACTAAAATCTCGTGAATTTCCGATACCTAAATCTATATGCTAATATCTCATGTGTTCACTAAAATCTCACGTATTTTACTAATATCTCGTGTGTTTTATTAATACCTGTTTTTGCAATATATCAGGCATCCCTCCAAAAAATCCTTCTGAAAAAACTTCTGCTTATGTAAGCTTGTCCCCAAGTTTCCTCCTTCAAATGGCGAAAATCCGATTTCTCTAACTCTTTTCGGTCGAGAATTATTAAAAGAATGGCTACACCTATTTTCTTTTCGAACAGAAAGTAGACATTAGTAAGAAAAACGTTATTTAACTATACTATGCTTACTGGAATTGGAACACGATCCAAATCACATTCTGTTTCCAATAGTCGGTATATTTCTTTTTCAACAAGCTAAATATAAAAATAATTTCCGTTCGTTTGAATAATTTATATTGAACTTACTTTTCCAATTGCCGAATAGCGTTTTTTATTATCTTCCTTTGATTTATATACGTTATATATGAATGGTTCATCTCCATTAATTTGTACAAGTTTTCCGTCTATAATTTCAATAAAAGTTCAAAAATCTACGTGAAGTAAAACATAGTGTTTATCAATACAATAAACGTTTTAATTAAAGCTTACGAGGGAACCCCAAGAAGTGATTAAACGCTTTTTGCTCGGAATCTAGTGGGTTATAGGTTATCGACCATGCGGCTTCCGCATAGCCCTTCGAAGACCTGGTTTTCTAGAAAACGAGTTTTTCAGAAACCCCAAAAAATAAC